ACACACACACACACACACACACACACACACACACACACGCAAATAAAGCCACAAACTGAAAACACTTGTGTGGAGCTGCTTAAAGTGACAAAAACTAAATTTGAAAACTGGCCTCTTTCTAAAAACTATGACCCAGTTACTCAAAAAAAGTTTGCATGTTGGAGCTTTTTTCTTTTCACTGAACTACACTGTCAACTGCATTACTATGCAAAAGAAGGACTGCATCTCTTCATGCTGAAAGGCTCACACTTTTGATGTCATCAGTGGCTTCCACCTGCTTTCTTTAGGTGGTTGGCGCCATTATGCTCAAGAGAAGACAGACCCAGACTCAGAGGCTGGGCAACTCACATCTAAACAAGACCTGGGAGAAGATATGTGTGTTTGATTTTGGAGGACACTGTGTCTTTAAGGGTCTGTAAAAATAGACTGTATATCAAAGATGGATGACGCCACCTGGATATCAACTATTGATTTTTTTTCAAGCCTAAGTATTGGTATTTTGTGCCACAAGTATGTAACTTTAAGCCTTAATGTAATTTGAACAGGTCTCTTATTAAATATTGCGACTCAGCCCCCTATCCTAAAGATTTTGGTATCTCTAAAGGCAAAGACCAAAATATTTTTTATAACAAACTGTAAAATAGTCTTTTCTCCCAGATGCACTGATTCACTTTTACTGTATAAAAAGGTGAATAAAACCATTGTGACTTCTGGCATTTGTTAGTGAAAAGATGAAGTTCATCATGAAGCTGATGGATACTGCACGCAAAAAGGAAAGACACTTACCAATCACATGATAAAACGTATCATACGTTATCCTTGTTTTTTAAACCCTTTAAGACCTAACCTGGAACCAAGTCTGCTAGAGCTTATCTTTATATTTTTACATGCTTTAGTGCCATTTTTGGGAGTATTTCAAGTTACTATACATCAATACAACCATTATATCCCAAATGTTAATAATATTTATGCATTAAGTCCATAGCAACGACACAAAAAAGCAAAAAAAATGCAATAAACTATAAAAGAAAAATTGAAAATGTTTTTTTAACACATATTTCTAGTTAGAGACATTTCAGAGGGATATCCCTCAAAACTGTAAATGCAAAAAAGTTGCACAAAATAGTTTTGAACCACAGGAAATTTATTTTGAGTGTCTTCATAGTTTTATTTTTGAGATACACCCATTTTCATATACTGCAGGAAAAATGAAAATAAATATTGTAATGCAAATTTGCAAAAAAAACCATAATTTGCATCAAAATATACTATTTCCAACAGTGTAATTTGAGTTCTAAGCATCCCAGAAACTATAAGAAAGGCATAAACTCAAACATGAATTTTAAAAACACCAGCATATCTTTGTAAATGCCATATAAGACAAAAACTACATTTTCCACAAAAATTACGTCACTTCCGGTTTCGGGCAGACATGCGATAGTTCTGTGACAGCTCTGACCTCTATTCCAACGTAGGAAGTGCTATAAACAGCTGATCGGATCGGCAAAGCGTGTTTCTGGAATATAATGTTTGTATTGCTGCAAGTGCTTTTTATGCAATTTTTGTAAAGCCATATGTGGAAGGAAACCGTGACCGAGGACAAGATGAGTGTATAAGATATAAGTACAACTCCTAAGGTTTTACATGCAAAAAAAATTATTGTGCTAGCTTATGGCTTATGAGGTTGCAATTCTACCAGGCTTTAAAAATAGCTGCGCAAAACGGAGGCTGTCCACTCTGACCAGCCATAAAGGGTTACCTGGAACCATGTTTTAAATAATCTTTTCATAGAGATCTATTTAGCTTGGCTTCTTTGTACAACAGGAAGCATCACTCCCTCTTGGCCATTAAAAGATTGGAAATTTAAGACACCTGGTGTGTTTTCACTTTTCGGACCTGAAAGCTACTTCCATCTTTAATATACAGCTTCTAAAGAAAGAAACGAAGATAGAACCTGCTGCCCCCAACATCTATCGGAGTAGGATGAGTGGTCTTAACATTTTATCTTAATGGCAGTGTCAAAATGACAAAGGGTCCTTCTTCTGTATCTCTGCAGGTCTATGCTATCCTGGTGAGTCACCCTCCCCAGTCCAATGACCACCTAACCCCGACGCCTGTCTCTTACACGGCAGGCTTCTACCGCATCCCTGTGGTGGGGCTCACCACCCGCATGTCCATCTACTCAGACAAGGTGAGTGATGGATGTGAGAGATGTAAAAGGAGACAGAGAGAAAGAGGGAAACAGGAAAAACAGGAAGAGCGTGAACACAGAGTGGAGGAATAAGAAGCTCCCCTGGGGCATCTTCAGAGGCTTCCTAGATTAAACGTCCCATCAGTGTCCATTAGGGGAGCTGTGATTAAATGGGTTTCCAGCTGAAATTTGAAAGAGCATCATTAATAATGCCTCCGACCTGACTTGTGTTTTTAAGAAGCACAAGCAACCAAAATGAAACTAAAGCAATCACATAAATGCCAAAGACATGAATTGAGTGTTTAAAGTGACACAGTCCATAATCTCCCAAAATAAGGGAAATGAGAGGCATTCAATTCAGAGATTTAGATAGGCCTGGGGGAGATGTGAGGAAGGAAGATCAAGGAAAGGGATTCCATATTGTTGTACATGATATTTATCCATTGTGTTTGCTTTTGTTCACTGCCACAAAACATCTTAAATATGTGGTGCATGATTTGTCTAGAACAGATTGAGCAGCTAAAATGAACAGCATACAAAACCATATCCCAGATCACCAAAAGTATGTGGACACTCAATTAAAGCTATCCAGATGTAGAGACTTGCAGCATCTTCAAATAATCCTGTTTTTGCATTCAAATCTTTATTTTGATGGCTAAGGCTCTTCACTTTTATTTGTGCCCCTACTTTAAATACAAGTATTTATTTGTTTAAAACTCCTGGTGCAGACTCTGGACTCTCAGCCAGAACATAGTAGTAACTTCAGACTCCACTCAGTCTCAGAGATCCTCTTTTTCCCAAGTGGCTAATTACTTCCTTTATTGATATTCTTCAAAAGAGGAGAATTTTGGGGATGCAGCGCATGTCCACTGCATACTGGATTACTTTTGGGTACACTGTGTATACTTACAGTCTTATGTTGCAATCAATGAGACCATTGGAAATTTAGCTGTTATGTAGTTCTACATGATACATTTTGTTTATCTTGTACACACGGGATAATTATCATGTTGTCAGAATATGATTTAATATTATTTCCACTTGATAACAAACAGATTTTAAAAAACTAATCATGCATCTTTGCTGATCACCTTTTTTTCTGCTCAATGCTCCTTAGAGTATCCACCTGTCCTTTCTGCGGACAGTCCCTCCCTACTCTCACCAGGCGCACGTGTGGTTCGACCTAATGCGCGAGTTCAACTGGAACCACATCATCCTGATAGTGAGCGACGACCACGAGGGCCGGGCTGCTCAAAAGAGGCTCGAGACCCTCTTGGAGGAAAGAGAAACAAAGGTGAGATGCTCTGGCTCCCGGCCTCCTAGCCTCCTCCCCCGTCCCCTCGAGTGTATGAGCATGAGCGTGCGAGTGTTTAAGGCTTTTAAACCTCAAAGGTCTTCTATGTATGTGACTGTTTTCCTTTCTGTTGTGTGGCCACATCTCTTTCTCACCATTGTGTAAACATTGGCTAACATTCCTAGAGACATTACCAGCGTTTAATGTGGTCTAATCTTACAAAAGTTTGTATGTTTATTTGCTCATCTTCACTTTGCTTTTCTCCATAGTCCAAATTATCCAGTGTCTTTCCACATTGGGAGCCAAATAGTGGAATTTAACATGGGGCTTTGCAAACCATCACAGATTTAACTGTTTCACTGGAGTCAGGTGTTTCTTTGCAGGCTTTGTTACTGCACACAGAGGGCTTTCCTTTATTGCAACCTGCTACTTCATGTTTGGAAGATAGGAGGATTTATTTTTTTCTTTTTAGCGCTGATGCTTCCATTTTAAGTATTGCTCTGGGCTGTGTATATGGGTCAGTGAAATGCTGATCTTTGAGCCAAAACAGACTTGAGACTGTGATGATGTGTGCCCTTTGGGGCAAAGAGAGTTAGATGGCTAGAAAGATGAAGAAAAAAACAAAACAACTGCATCTATTTCATCCATTTAATAAGATGAAATCACGTTGCGATGCATTTTCTCTTTGTACTCTGCGTTGCTTGTCCCTCTCTGGGGCTCTTTTGCTGTAATTGTGTGGCAGAGTGAAATGAGTCCTGATTCGGAGACTTAATTAAATCAGAAGATGAAGAGACACTGGGTATGACACACACCCGAGGCAATTTTGCAGAAGGCAGCTACAGTTAAAGCAAAGCTGCTTAAATGAAGCGACCGGGATCGGCGTCAGACACCAATCGGAAAAAAAACACTCTCGATTGTGAAACTGCAGCTGCGCACTTTGAACCATAACCAGTGACAGTCAGATGGTGGAGATGTGACTCACATCCTGCACTGGAAAAGATAAATTTGTATATTAAAAGCCTGTGCAAGTGCAAAGTCTTCGTTTGGATCTCAGAATGAACCCATCTGTGCATTCAGCTCATTCAGTCCCATAAAGCTGAGCGAAGTGGCAGCGTCTCTCTCTGCTGATGAGAGCCTCTACCGGTAATTATGAATATATTTAGTCCTCACTGCAGTGCCAGTTTGAGAGTTTCTGGGCCCTGAGAAGGATTTGTTTGAGAATCGTGCAGAGATAATTACACTGAAACCAGTGCAGAGCAGCATAAGACAAGTCCTGTATACTGCTAATGACTGTTTTCGCCATATCCAAAGGCTGATGTATGTCTTTCAGCTGTGCCGTAGCGCTCAGCTGCTGTCGATAAACCATAAAAAATTAACGAATCCTGCTGTCACACTGGCATCATCCTTCATTACCACGAGCAAATCCTCTATAGTTTGTTTTGAGTCAGTCCAACATACACTCATCTATACACTACTGGGTAATGCCTGTTAATCCATAGCTGAAAATAGCCGTGAACAAATGGTTAATCTGGACTAACATTTTCTCAACACTACAGATTCCAGCTCTTCCACTAAATTACTGCAGCTTTTCTTTCTTAAATGAAGCATTAAATAGGAAGAAATATGCAAGAGGCTTAGAGCCACACGCATGTGGAGAAGTTGGAAAGCTTTAAAAGGCACGCTGATGTAGTTCTGGCTATGCTGAGAAAATATTAAACAACAGAAGCCTTAATATCTTAAAATGCAACATGATTTTCATAAAATGTCACAAAAGAAGAATCAAAACTTTGTCCCCAGCTGACAGGACAGTTGGGGTTTTACGCTTGGCAGTGTGACAAAATCCGGGAGTGTAACCTTCATACTCTTAAATGACGAGAAAAGAAATGTCAGAGAGCAGCTGCTCAGCTCACTTTCCCCTCGGCTCTGACATCCCGTGTGTCACTTAACAAAATAATCATGATAAAAAAATCTTTTTCATTACCAAACCAGCTTTTTCTTTATAGATTTGTCTGGATGTCATATCTCCAAATGCTTTAGGTGATGCTGAAGGATTTCATTTTGTCTCAGGTAGACCACGCTCTAATTAAAACTGAGAAATGTTGCTCTTGCTAATCACCTTGTTGTGCTGCATAAACTCAGTGACAGGCAAGATGGAGTATTTTTAGCTCCGTGGTAAGTCTTTAGCGAGGTCACACAGTCACAGGGGGGCTGTCACCACCAGTGAAAAGGCGCTGGACACAGTGGACTTAGCCAGAGAGCAAATGTGGCCAACACAAAGTGAAATATTAATGCCTGGCTGCAGATACAAAAATAGAGTGCTCAGAAAAACTCAGGGGATAAAGACAAAGTCCTTTTTTCTGGAAGGCTTCAGAGAGGGTTTCTACTTGAATTAGATGCAAAAAATTCTCAGTTTATGATAAATTTCCAACTCGATTTTTGCCTTTATAGTTGATAGGATACAGAGAGAAATGCCACTGCCAGGAGCTGAAGATCAAACACCATTACCGTAAGGTTTCTGGGACACTTTTGTAACATTACTTTGAAATAAATTTAGTGATCTGTCACCACTGATGATAATTCCAGATATTCCAAATATTATGTAGAAGATCCTTTTGCAAAAATACAATTTATATACACTCACTGGCCACTTTATCACATAGAACCTAACAAAGTGGCCAGTGAATACCACAATTCACCTTGATGCTGATTGTTGCAGGCAGCTCCTTTGAGTTTTTTATAAGGAACAACTTACTAGTAATGGTTTGAACCCCTTTTGTTCTTCAGAACTTCCTAAATTCTTCATGACATAGATTCAACACAAGGCAGGATGGATCCATGCTTCCATGTTCTTTATGCCAAATTCAGACCCTACCACCTGAATGTAGCAGCAGAAATCGAGACTCCAGACCAGGCAACACATTTGATTCGCTTTCTTGATGCTCGTCTGTATAGCTTGGTTGTAATAAGCGATTGTTTGAGTTACTGTTTCCTTCTTATTAGCTTGAAGCAGTCTGGCCATTCCTCTCTGACCTCAGACATTAAAAAGGCATAAGCCCCCAGAAAACTGCTGCTCACTGGATATTTGCTCTTTGTTAGAAATGGTTGGGCGGTAAAATCTCAGTAGGTCAGCAGTTTCTGAAACACTCATTTCTTCCTCGTTCTGATGCTCAGTTTGAACTTCAGTGGGTCATCTTGACCATGTTTAGATGCCTAAATGGAGTTTCTTGATGACTGGCTGGGTAAATATTTGCTGTTGAACAGGTCTATGCAATGAAGTGGCTGGAGAAACATCTATGTGTTGTTTTTATAAAATAGAAGCGTTCTTTTCCTTTGTTTTTTGTTCTTATTCTCCCATTAGCATCCAACAGTTCTCATATCTATATCATATATGATAATTTTTTTATGGGCTTTTTATTCTTTTGGAACACAACAGCATCCACACAGAGGTGTTTAACATTTGTTTGTTTGTTTGTTTATGTGAATAAAAGATTTACTAGGCAGCATCTGTTGTCAGTTTGCTGAATAGTGCATTGATGCACAGTCAGCCTGAACTTTGCAAACGGGGGAGTGCGGACCAGAGTGCACTGAGGTGTGAGCTCTGAATCCAGGCAGCTGTGAAAGAAACCCTGTGATGCAGAAACACGCAGTTTGCTATTTTACTGCAAAATGGCTTCTAAACTCAGCCTGGACTCCCAAGTGGCTCCTCTCGCAGGATACAGAACAGGACCAGAGTCTGAAATGGTGACACCTCAAGTGTTAGATAGCCTGAATGTAATTAAACGTGCATAGGAATCCCCTATCGGATTGCTCTGTCTCGCTTTCACAACACATTATTTTTGTTAGTACTGTGCTACATGCTTTAGGTGTCAATCAAGCTGAAAATGCCACAAAAACAAAATGCTGCAGATGGAATGTGAATGTTTTTTGTGAAGATTTATTACTTAATTTGTAGACCAAGAGCTTTCTGGACCTGCCCTACAGCACTACCACTCACACTTTATTAACTCTGATTCAGCTCTGTGGGAAACCTTTGTTTCCTTTGTGCAATAAATTTTGAAAACAAGAGCTTGCTACAAAGTCAGACACTTTTATTGAGTGCTATATTTTTATTTTTCTAACATTCCCAGTTTAGACAGTCACCCTCAAAGACTGCCGAGAATTAGTCTGTATAGTGCCAAGGTGGGACAGAAGTTTTCCGGATTTGCTGGATTTTTACGGGGTAAAAAATGACTGCGTGTTAGCAGTTGATGTTGAATTACTGCTGTTACTGCTTGCAAACTCCAGCCAAGCTTTTAATGATTGTGTCTGAGGATGCTAAGTATAGAACGAGCTTCTGAAGATGATGTTGAATGAGCAGATGGTTTTGTGGAGTAGCAGTTTCTTTTGCAAGTGCGCCATACTGCGAAAAATTTAATGAGCTCTTTGTGTTTTTGTTAAGAGGCCAAAAAAGTGATCACATAGAGCTGATTTTAAGGTGTGCTGGAAATCTGATCACTCTCCTTGACACTTATGTTTGCCTATGCGGCTGGATTATCACTAATAATTGATGCATCACATGCACAGTACATGTAAATGCTGTATATACTTAATATCTGTTTTTAATAAGAGGACATAATCTCAGCATGATTGCAAGTGGTCATCTCTGATGTTTTTGCAAGCCCCACTGTTAAAGATCCCAATTTGAAGCAGAAAAGTGGAGATTTGTTGGAATGCTTTACTGCCCTCCATTTTCAACTGTTTATAATATTTTTCTGTGTCTGCATATTTTCTCTGTGCACATTACTCATCAGAATAAAAAAAGGAACTATGAAAACCTCGACCAACTGTCCTATGACAACAAGCGAGGACCTAAGGTATATTTGCATGGTCAATGCACGCCGCCCACCAACTTTCCAAACGTAGCAACTAGAAACCAGACCAAACCAGTCACCAGCCGACCCAGAAATGTCCCTCTCTTGGTAGCACGTGTTTTCTTTAATTTTTACTTTGAGACATTTCCCTATGATTTAAATGAAGAATGATTTTGTTGTGAAAAAAAATCTATAATTTTTTAACATAAAAAAAAAAATCAGTGGCCAGCGCCTCGCTTTTATCATTTTTCATTTTTTCCTTCAGTAAAGGAATGCATGTACTCAGAACACACACACTCACACACACAAAAAAAGTTTGCAACTCCATTCCTTTGTGGAGAACCGGTAGTGTGGGACAAAACCGTTTCCCAGATGCTACTTCCTCCTGTTCTGTAGCACTTCCCCAGTTTTCAGCAGTTTTTTTGTTGGGGGAAAACGTCCCTCTCACCCCCCTTCACCTGTTTTTAGTTACTGGTTGCATTGACCTTCTTCTTTCCCCCTACCTAACACATGCACGTCCTTCTTTGGAGCCTTGATAACCCTCAGTTTGCATGCAAACAAATGCAAAAGTTTTTTTTCCCTTCAAGCTTTTTTTATTTTTTTAGTTCAGCCGGTTCCCCTGGATCGCTTTCCTTTTTATATCTCTGTCTCTCGTTTTCAAAAAAAATCGGCCAAGCTCAAACCAACAAGGTAAAGAGGCAGCATGGTGTCTGAGGTAGGGGAAAGTAGCTGGCTTGACCTTCCTTATGCCCCAATCACAGGCAGAGAAAGTCCTCCAGTTCAGCCAGGAGACTAACTTAACTGCTCTGCTGCTGGAGGCGAAAGAGCTGGAGGCCCGAGTCATCATCCTGTCCGCCAGGTGAAGTGTTTTATTTATTTATTTTTTAAATAAATAACATACATATATTTATAGACCTTCTGGAGAGTGCTTCAAAGGTTTCGGCTGCACTAATATGGAAAGTTGTAGAAGTCCTGCAGCTCTATATTGAGCTTTGTATTTACTTGTACTTACATTTCTGCATTTCAGAGGAAAAGAATTCAAATGTATTGTATTTTCATAGAAATGTGTCTATGAATAGAACATATACTTAGATTTCATTTTGATGTAAGTAATCATACACGATTGATAGTGATGGATTCTGACACAGGGCATCAATGTGTCCAAAGCCTGACATTATTTTCTGTCATTTCACTTAGTATAAGAATAATATAGCTTGAAGTAAATATTGTAAAAGTGAATGCAATATCTAAAATATGAGTGGGTTTTTTCTTTTAAATTAAAATGTGGGTAAAGTCAGCCTTAGGGTTTTTTGTCATCAAGTTACAAATATGTAAAGATCTTGTGTGTTTAGCAACTTTATGATAAACGTGTCTCCCTTATATGAAATTATGTTTTGGGGATTTTAAGAATATAAAGCAGAGGATTCTCTGCAGTACAGAGTTGTGTGTTTTGGGGCCTTTTTTAGCTTTCATAATTGGCTGCCCGGGATGATATGATGATTTCTGAAAAAATCTGGGATGCCAGTTTAGCTCACGTGGTTGAACAGGTGACCATGGTTTCAAGTGTGACTCCAGGTCTTTTGCTTTCACCATTTTCCTCTCTAACTCTTCACTATTCTATCAAATAAAGACGTAAATATCCCCCCGAAAATGACAAAAAACTGAAATGATAAACCTTCATCAATAGAAAGCCATTTCTTCAGACTAAATCATAAAATGCTGTGCAGATTAGAGAGCTTCATGCTGTTTTCAAGGAAAATGAACTTGCATAAATGTCCATCCATCCATTTTCTTCCACTTATTCAATTCAGGGTTGTGAGGGAACTGGAGCCTATTGCAGCTGTCATGGAGCATGAAGTGGGGTTCACCCTTCACAGGTTGCCAGTCTGTCGCAGGGCTACAGCTAAATGTATCGTAACAAATTACTATGCGACATGTACACGATTGGAAAAAAGTTATTGGCTAGATTAAGGGGGAAATGGCCTAAAGATATTTATTACAAACCAGAATTACAAACTTTGTCTAAACCCTTAAAATTTAAAAGCAACAATTTAATTTTTCTTTGGTTTTGTCCTATAATGACTCATGATGATCTATTTTTAATGAAAAGTTTTTAATTAAAAATCCATGAGTGTCAAAACTTTAAATTATTAATCTGTTATATCATCATGGCTGACTTTGTTTCTAATGCTCGGAAAAGCCGTCAGGTTGGATTTTGTTTAGTATTTTTTGTGATTCATGTCACTGCTCCTGTTTTGGTTACTTGAAAGCCTCGACAGACTCGCATATCAGATCAGCATCATCTGCTGGTTAAAACAATCGATTGTCTTTTATTGATTTAATTTTAACAAATTCCAGTGAGGAGGACGCTGCCGCAGTGTACAGGGCTGCCCGTTTCCTCAACATGACGGGCTCCGGCTACGTGTGGCTGGTGGGCGAGCGTGAGATGTCGGGTAAAGCCCTGAGTGAGGCGCCAGACGGTACGTTCATCCAGCTTAGATCACTGGGAATGCACCAGTTTACCTCGGCTTTACTAAGAGGCCGAGCATAACACACACAGGATTAGAAAGATTAACCATTTATCGATGGGTTTATTACATGATTATTTGTATTACTGCTTGTTTCGTGTTGAGCATTTAAACGTTTAAGCATTCTTTGTTTAAAGGTTTAAATGTGGTGTGTACACTCAGTTTTTACTTTAAATGTGTGTGTATCCTGGCTCATCCAAGGCTAAATTCACTGTGCTAATCTGCCATATTAACATCCTGGTCTCTAATGAATTATAAAGGGAGAGTTTTGCAACAGATAACTGATAGAATGGTAAGCCACAACAGTCTTTTTGTATGTATTCGTGGATATTTTTGCACATGTCTCACAGGTCACGGTATTTTATCACTTTCTGGTCACAAATGTCGACCGTTTCTCCCCCAGGCACTCAAACACAAGCAATCCCCGCAGAGCGTTTGTTGTCCTGTCCGTGTCCAGTCTCTTCCACCTGCACTGCAGCTTCTTTTAGGAGCCTGCAAGACTGATGGACCTGGTTGCAATCAGAAAACTTAGCTGAAGTTGGATTGTTGCTTGGTTTAAAAGTAGGCCTGGTGGTATTTTTGTTTAGCGAGAACACAAATAATATGTGTGCCTGTGCTGAGTCCTCAAACTTTTGCCAGAAGGGCTGAAAAATATAAATCCAACTTCAAGGGACTCCTTGCACATGCTGCGAAAAGGTCATTGGTGACAACATCAGAAAAATGATCCACTTATTTCTGCTGTCTTTTATGAGACACTCTTATTGAACTTACCCCTCCCAGTGGATCAGAGCTGGATCAAGCAGCTGATGTCTGACCTTTTTTCAGGATGTTTAAACTGGAGGCCCTATAAGTTTTTTTCCACTTTGCGCATTGCAAAAGGCTCCTGAGAGAGTGTGCCTTGCTCAGGAAGGTGATTATCTTTATGTTGTTGGAATGCTCTCAGGTCTAATCGGCCTCCAGCTCATCAACGGGAAGAATGAGTCTGCCCACATCAATGACGCAGTGGCTGTGGTAGCTCAGTCCATACAGGAGCTATTTGAGAAGGAGAATATCACAGAGCCTCCAAGGGGATGTGTGGGCAACACTAACATTTGGAAAACAGGACCCCTTTTTAAACGGTAAGCTTGGCACAGAAGCTTTGCATGTTTCATGGTTTTAAAATAATCCTTTTTTTAATCTTATACAATATATGGCCCAAATGTTTCGGCTCCTCTACCACTTCCATCTAAAGCAAATTACAACTGATTGGCTTTCCCTTTGTAAACAAAAGGTTTGAACAGCAGGTGGTGGGGCTTTTAGGATACCATACAAACCTATTTCGTTTAAAAAAAACTGTCTGATGTTGATTATGTAGAGTAGTCTGAAGCCTGAGTTTTTATCTCAGAGGTTTTAATCATAAATACTGTGGCTTCTTCATTAGAAATCTTTAATATGAGCAGCTATTATTACAACAGTGTAGACATATGACAGAAAATGTCATATAAAAATGTCTCAATTAAAAATAATTGGAAAATTAAGATATGTTAGAATTTCCATTATTGTGATAAAGGGCAAAAACATATTAGACATGCTCAGGTTTAATTACTGAAACAGGCCTGCAATATAAATAAGTTGTATGCTGCATTGCAGTCATTTCCCCCCATTGTTGACAGTTTTAACAGATTCATCAGATTTATCAGGTTTTCCTGAATAAACCTTGTATTTGTTATTTCCAAACGAAGCCAGTGAGTTTCAGCTGACCCACTTAGAGCAGCTTCGAGGCAGCATAACAAAATATAAAGCTCTGCTTCCAAACAAATGCAACAGCAAGTATTGTCAGTACTCAGCAACCACCGCTCTGCCTTTCGTTAACAAGAGATGTGGTGAATCAATTTTTATTTTTTTTTGCTTCATGCACTGAATTAAGAGCCCTACACTGAGCAATTTACAATAAAATACACTGTTACACTAACATGAGATGACGCACAATGGCCTTACATGGGCACATTTGCACTGATTCACACAGATAACAGTTTTCATGTGCTTGCCACAGGGTGCTGATGTCATCTAAATATCCCGAGGGTCTCACAGGGCGTGTGGAGTTCAATGACGACGGAGATAGAAAATACGCCCACTACAGTATACTGAACTATCAGAAGTCCAGACTCATCCAAGTTGGCATATACAATGGGACGCAGGTACACAAAGGCACCTACAGATGTCCATTCCCTGTTTTATACTCACAAACCATGTGTGGATTTTGTCTAGCCCACATACAGAATCATCTGTTTTTTATTTATTGTGGGTGGGTGGGAGTCAGTTTTCTATCTATACCACATACCAGGTAATGTACATCTACTCTGCATATCTGTGAGCCTTTGCATAAAAAAGGCAGTTCAACAAATGCTCTTTTCTATTAGAGGGATATTTCAGATTCTTTTACTCATCATATGATGACAATATTGGTAAATGTAGCACAAATGTCATTCAAAACTCCTGGATGCAATGAGGGCAAGAAGAGAAAGTGGCAAGATTATAAAATCAGTCTTTCTTTTTTTCAATCCTGCTTGCATTGCATGAAATGGGAAATACAACCAATCATGAACCCCAAGTATGCAACAGAAATGGATAAAGAGGAAATATTTCACTCATTTACCATTTTGCAAAGCACACAATAAACTTCCAAGTACATTTTTTAGCGCTGGCTGCTCATTTACTCACCATGAAAATAAAGGTTTTAGTACATTTTATTAAACTTTAGTGAGGAAACTAAACAAACACAGCCCTTGTTTTGGCTCTAAATGGACTCATCAATCTTCCACTGATCCAGTTCAGGTTCACGGGTGAGCAGGAGCCTACACCAGCTGTCACAGGGCAACAGGCAGGTTACCAGTCTATTGCAGGGCTAACACAGAGAGACAGGCAAGCATTCACATTTTTGGCAATATTAGAGTTGTCAATTAACCGAACATGGATGTCTCTGGACTATAGGAAGAAGCCAAGTACCCATAGAGAACAATCTCCATTTAGAAAGGCACTAGGCGGCAGATTCAAGCTCAGGACCTTCTTGCTGTGAGTCAATGGTGCTAACCACCAAACCACCATCCTTCTCTGGTCCACTAACGATGTATCCATCTGCGAGAGTGCCAGCCTCACTAATATCACCAGAATAGAGCTGTTGTGCAGTTTTAATCAAATCCAAGCCCAATCAGAGTGTACTAAATGTAACAAATTCAGTTACTGATTCTAATTTTACTGCTTGTTCTTTGAAAATCCCTGCAGTTTGTAGCAAGTAGACTAAGGTGTAGCATGTGACTTACTTCCTATTACCGCTAATCCAACCCTTCTGTAAAATGGAAGCTGTTTTATAAGCCTTGTTTCCATCCCTATTTTAGCTAATGGTGGATATTCAACTCAGCCAGGCAGCCGATAAAGGCTGCAAGGATCAGCTCTTCTAAGCTCTTCAGTTATTTGGCGACAGGTGGAAAAGTAATAATTTCATGAAACCCTGTATCATACAAAAGTCAGAGGTTGATGCAATAAATAAACTGCTGAGCTGTGGTTATGTAAAGCTGACTCATTAGTGATGCTCACCCACAGTGCTGAAGCCTCATCAGCAGCAGGCCTTCTGTCAGCACTCACCTATAATACTGTATATGTGTGTGTGGCATCGCTACAGGTGGTAATGAACAATCAGCGGAAGATTATCTGGCCCGGAGGAGAGACTGAGAAACCACAGGGCTTCCAGATGTCCACTCGACTAAAAGTAAGACACCTTCACTTTGCTGCTGCAATGTGGCACTCATGTCTACACGGATAGACTGCGGACCTGAGCCGAAATACTCGTGTTGGACAGTGTGCTAACATCTCTCTCTTGCAGGGAAGCTAATCTGTGTTCTTAAAGCAGAACTGACATATTTGCTGTGACTTTTATCTCTTCACTTCTGTCTTAGGCCTCGAGAGAAGCTCATCTGTATCCTTGTTTGTTATTTTTATTTTCACCTGTCCATCCTTGCACATCTATATGTTTTGGTGATGTGTAATGTATGTTTTTCTCCTAAAGCAGATGCATCTCCAACTCCGTGATAAACAGCTTTCTGTCCCGTCTGTTGTAGATAGTGACAATACACCAGGAGCCATTTGTGTATGTGAAACCCACTCTGCCTGACGGTACTTGCAAGGAGGAAATGACATTAAATGGAGTCTTAATTAAAAAGGTTATCTGCACTGGGCCCAATGAGACCATCCCAGGTAACACATCAGGGACGTTTACATTATCACTGTGCTTCTAGCGCACCCGCCAAACATCCACCGGAGATGCATACATATATATGCAGCAGGTATCTATATATGTATGCATGTAGCCATTCAGACTGAGTGATTGTTGGGATGCTGGCACACACCTGGTCTGTGTGCAATGAGGCTGTGTGAGGTTGTCTGCAGTGTATCAGTGTGTCATGCATTCTGTGCAGTCTACATGCGCCGCCTTTGGATTCAAAAAAGCCAAAACAAAAAGAAACCAACAACAAATGAACCAGTTTCCACCAGGCTGTGCATAACTTCCAAATGTTGCTGTTTTCGTTACAGGACGCCCAATCGTACCCCAGTGTTGTTATGGATTTTGTATTGACCTCCTGATAAAGCTGGCTATGACCATGAACTTCACCTATGAGGTGCATCTGGTGGCTGATGGAAAATTTGGAACTCAGGAGCGGGTGAGTTTCACATTAAGATCCATGGTTGGTGTATTTTGGCTCACAAGAAGAATATATTTTCCATCTGCAGTCATTTAAATCTGGTGGCATGCCTTTATTTTGGGACTTTCCTGTAGTTCCACATGAATGTGTTTAAAAATCACTCAGATCTAAAAAGGAGATCATTAGCTCAAGGCAGCAAAATTATACAAATTTCCAGTTGTCAACTACCGATGAGTAGTTGCCTACCAGTTGCAGAGTGGCCTGCAAGCCACCATGCACTTCCACGGTCACCAGGTTCAATATGGTTTTGAGTATTTGTCTTTTTGGATGGCGTTTAATGCTTTTGTTAATCGTTTTTTATGAGTCACACTTACTTCACAGGCTCAGAGAACTTGACTCACATTGTCTGTCCTGTCTTCTAAATAATTCAGAAGACAAAGGGAGTAGAGTGCCATTTAAATTTAATCATGTTTATTTTTGACTCGAGTCCAGCTGTTTTACTGCGATCCAGCCTTCTGCTGCACATCCTTCAGCTTTCCAGCTGCTTTTTTTTCTTATTGATTGCCATCTTTGCATCAGATCACTTATATAGGAGCCGTAGCTGTCTTGTTGCCAGATTGTGTTTTTACTGCACCGCTGCCAAATCTGTTCTGTGATCCATGAAAATGGAACAGATACAAACTGTACATACCACCACTGAAGATTTTTTTTTTGTGGTTGTTGTTTTGGCAAGGTTTGTTCATTTTTTATGAACCCCTCCTGGGAAAGAGTTGGGTTTTGTGCAGATAAAATAGGACACATGCCCTGCTAGGATCAGCTATATATAACCTAACCTTGTATTGCTCAAGCAGCACACCTTCATGAGTGCACAGAAACTAGACTGGGACTTATCTTTGTAACCAGTCCAGTCTTTGGTTTCTCTGTTTACATTCTCAACAGATTGCATTACTTTTCCGGGAATCTGCTAATCATCAACTACAATACTATAGAAATATGTTAATAATGAGCTATCAGCAAATATTATTATATAGTATAAAAAAATGTAAGCTATCTTATTTAATTATAGTGGCAATGTTACTATTAAACTGCACTGGTTTATTTAAGATGAAGCTACTACAGGCCTACATGAGGTGCGACTTATGTGTCTATTAATTGTGATGTGCAATAGAAAATGTAATCATTACATTTTTATAACCCAAGGGCATCTTCTTTTGTTCCTGTTAAATGCTTGTAAATGACGCTCAATTTTACTTCCATCTAGGAATCTTTTTTTTTTCAGTTCAACAAGGAAATAAATTAGTGTGCTAATAACACTTTATAGCCTGAGGACATTTTGAATGGAATCACACCATTTTGAGTCAAATCATGCATCATTTGGAAGAACAGAGCCTCAAAATATACAATAATAAACCATTTGAGAATCACAACAATTATAAATGTATACTACAGTGCATAGCACTTGGTAAAACAGTAGTTTCTTGCCTTTTTCAGGCATCTCTCTGAGCATATGTTTGTTCATTAAGTATGTACTGTAATGCACATTGTTTTTAAAGGCAGTAGTCAAGCATACAACATATTCCTAAGCTTTTAATAACTGTAGTGAAATGCATTGCTATGACTTGTAAAATTATGCTCTAATATTAAGAAGTCTAAAAATGGCCAACACATTTTATACCAACACAAAAGTCATATTATGTCCTTCATGCCTGTCCATATTATTTTTGTGACAAAAGAAATTGGTGCAAAGATTTTCAGGGGTCCCTGTGAAAATATTCACCCTTCTAATGGGTCTTTAGCCCCAAAATCTCAAGAGCACAATCCGCTGTATATAGGTGACCTGAATTAGAAAGGACATAAAACAGATTTAATCACCTCCTATTACCATTATAGTATGTTCAGTGCTGATTTCATGTACCATTGCATGTTTATTTTTAGAGCATTAATTCTTATTTGTCACATATTAAACAAGGATGATCTCTTGAAATGGAGTTCTTCCCAAAACGGGAGCGTGAGGCTGTAACATGTCGCAGAAGCCGTAAGAACTGCAAGAAAGCAAAAAGAGAAGAAACTAGATACGCTGAACTGAAAACCTGCAACCTTCTGAAACCTGAAACTCTGTTCTTTAGGCAAAGCAAGAACACGCTGTTCTATATTTTTGACGTTTACTTGGTTTAACCCAAATCCTTAAACCCTGAAGCAAATCTGTGGTCTAGACAACAGCAGGGCTAAAGCTGATTCAGATTCTCAACTTTCTCAACTCCTTCCATTTTGGGACTCCAGGTCAACAACAGTAACAAGAAGGAGTGGAACGGCATGATGGGCGAGCTCCTGGGAGGCCTGGCTGACATGATTGTAGCTCCGCTGACTATAAACAATGAGCGAGCCCAGTACATCGAGTTCTCCAAACCCTTTAAATATCAAGGCCTCACTATCCTCGTTAAAAAGGTAAGCAGGATATTTGGTACTTAGACCTATGACTAAGGGAGATGCATCTATTGCTTACTTGTGCATCTGTTCATTTATGTAAAAATATAATGAAGCAGAGACAGAGATTGTATGGCTTCAAGAGAGATACATTTTAATGCACTTTGCTCAGCTGTGGCAGAAAAAGGTAGTAGAGGTGGTTTCAAGATACCATCTATATTATTTGTATACCAGGTTAATGACAACACGACAAAGAACTACGTAGCTGCAATTTAAAGTGGTGGATGGGGATCAAATCACCCCTGACAGTTTGGAAAAATATTGATTAGATCCGTTAACTTTAATTTCCATAGGTTATTAAAATCTCTAAGTGGACAAAGACCTAGAGGGAATATGAGGTGATGCAGTATCAGTTAGCCATTGCCTCTACCATCTTTCTTTGAAAGAAATGAATGCCATCTGGGAAGGATTAGCCATGGATTACACATCTCAAACAAGTGTTAAGATAATGCGTTCTCATTTTCTGTCCTTGCAGATTTTCGCAGACACAGAAATGAGCCTGAAACAGTAAAAAAGACACAACTGTGTTCAGATATAAATAACACTGGTTAAAATGTTAAAGGCATGGAAACAGTCAAACTTATTTTATCTCATTTGCCAGGTTTAAACCTATTTGATGTATGTGAGTGCACTGTTGTGCAAAAGACACCCTTTATTTTTGATCTTGCATTTTGCACTCTGCATTTTAGTCAGACGTGTTGGGGATTTTGCCAAAGATAGAATCGAATTATGAATGCAGAAAAATACCATCAGGTTTTGACTCATCATGCATTAGCATGTCGAAAGTGTGTCTTCATTTTCCCAAACACACTGCCAATGCATCAAAAGCATATCCACTGAAGCAGTGTAGAGAATAGAACAAAAGGCAGCCAACATCCAAAGAAAAGCTTTGAATGTCCTTCAGTAACCCTGAAGGACTATTCCTGAAGACTACTTAAAGAAAGTACAAGAAAGTTATCAAAGCAGTCATGCAAATATTGACTTGAAGTTTATAATATTTGTACAGTTTCTGATTTTGCTTCTGTTTTTATCTGTACATGTTTCCCATTTTCCTAGCTGAATATAAAGGAATGAGGGATGGCTCAAGACGTTTGCACATTACTCATAAAAAGACCTAAATTTTTTTTACCCATAGTACATTTTGAAAAAATTTACATTTAACAGACCACACATTTACAGAACATATGAGCATATAAGTTGTTTCTTGCTAGAATCCTACTTCAGTGCAATATGGAAGGTCATGGGTCTTTGTCAGTAAAAAGACTGTAAAACCTGACAATGAGCCAGACCAATGGTGCCATAAAATTCTAAAAGAATTCATTATCAATCGATAATCAACTGCCTGTATCTGTTTTCAGGAAATTCCTCGCAGTACACTGGACTCGTTTATGCAGCCGTTCCAAAGCACGCTGTGGCTGCTGGTGGGTCTTTCGGTGCATGTGGTGGCGGTGATGCTTTACCTACTAGACCGGTTCAGGTACAAGGGGGGCCTGTATGTGTATTCATGTATCCATATGTGTATGAACGACTGTGTGTGTGAAGTACATGCTTGTGTGTGTGTGTACATGGACTCCTGAGCACTGCAGATCTTCCCTTGATGTGGACAGCAAGGCAGACAGAGGTGAAGATTGGTTCCAGTCATCCCACAGCTCTGTGCCTGTGCCACCGTCTTCACCCTGTTTTCTTTCTGAGGACTTTGTCTTGCTTCGCCCACTCATGTTCAGTTTTCCTCCCTTTTTCGGGGAATCACTGGGTTTTTCACATTCAGCAAGTTGTTGGACATTTCTCATTTTATATCTTCTGCAACCCTCCCAATTTCTTCCCATAGCCCGTTTGGGAGATTTAAAGTAAATAGTGAAGAAGAAGAAGAAGATGCCCTCACCTTATCATCTGCCATGTGGTTCTCCTGGGGAGTATTGTTGAACTCTGGTATAGGAGAAGGTGAGTCATATCCAGTTGTTGAATTTTCTCTTTCCCACAGAGCTCCTGGATGATGTCTTCTAGTCTTTGAACAGTTTTGCATTTGTAAAAGGATTGATATCAAGTGTCTGTGTGGCTCCAGATTTCCAGCTGCTACTGTCACATTTTTCTTTGAAAACGACAAAAAAAAGAAAAAAAAGAAAAGCTGGTACAGCTTGTAACAGTTTTGTTATCTTATTTGATTTTCTGTCAAGTGTTTCCTTTTCATGATATTTTATGAGTTTTATATATGTATATTAAAAAGCTACTTTTGCAAGGCTCCCTTTAGGAGAGCCCTCTCTTTAAGATTTTGTACTCATAAATATGCAAACAAACTGATCTATCCTCATAAACTTAAAATGAAACCATTAAAAATCTATAGGACTGGGTGCCAGTTTGTAGAAACCATGTCGCCGCGCCATCTTGAATACAGTGGAAATAAATACTGTCCCCGATGTTGTTCTAATTGCTTATTGTCAGCAGGTTAGACACACAACCCTGTTGTCTCCCGACTATTGTTTAGCTAGCTAAACAATAGTTGGTGCTTATTGGCTAATATTATGCCAGCTTATGTTTGGTTCAAGTGTTTTAAAAATCACACTTCCCCTCTAAGAAACAGTTTGATTAAATTCTCACATGTTATTTAAGTTTATCCGCTAAGTGTTTGAGTCCAGCAATGTTAGAGCCCCTCCAAAGAAAGTTTTAGTTACACTAGCTAACAAAAGCTAACAGAGGCTAATAGTGGCTAATAGCAGCAACATCAGAAGCACTTACTGACTGAAAAGTTCAGGATATCTTCAATCACTCGACACAGTACCGCTGTCATGAGTCAGAAATTATGTTCACAGACTCATCGACTTATATGAGAATCCTTTCACAAAGTTTTACATCCACGTCAACATGAGCGCTTCTTACAGCATTTGACAGCACTCACTCCAGAAGAATGACAGCCAGAGTTTTTGAGATGATTGTGGGCTAAAATTGTAAAACTACTGCAAAATATTTAATTGACACATATCCTTTTTTTAATTCCTGATTTATTGGTGAGTGTGGATATTATTAAAATATGTTTATATCGTGTACAAAAATGTAGCAGAAAACAGTAGCAAAGACGCACCCGCCTGGTGAGATCATTATGGGAAAATGCGGAGTGCTCTGGCTGATATTAGGAATATCCACTTCACTGCCATCACACAGATCCAAAATCAGACAAAATCTATCTGGAACTAATAGTGTAAAAACGTTATTTAATTTTTTTTTCATATTCTATATGAGTAGCTAGTATATATGACAGAAAAAATAAGCTGAAATTGACAGTTACTGAGATGAAAACTCAAAACTTGGACTCACCACACAGGTGCACCACGTAGCTTCTCAGCGAGAATCCTGGGCATGGTGTGGGCTGGTTTTGCCATGATCATTGTGGCTTCCTATACTGCCAATCTGGCTGCCTTCCTGGTGTTGGACCGGCCTGAGGAGCGCATCACCGGTATCAATGACCCACGGGTATGTGAAACAAGGAGCTTATTACTACACATTACCTTTTTTCAATCATATTAACAAATATATAGACTGATTGATTTTATTCTTACTTATTGTTCATCAGATTGTGCTTTTCCTTGTCTCTTTATGCAGCTGAGAAACCCATCAGACAAGTTCATCTACGCCACAGTGAAACAAAGCTCAGTGGATATCTACTTCCGGCGGCAGGTGGAGCTTAGCACCATGTACCGCCACATGGAGAAGCACAACTATGAGAGTGCCGCCGAGGCTATCCAGGCCGTGCGTGACAAGTGAGTCTCGGCCAGGCCGGGCCGACCAGAGTACGTGTCGGCCGGCTGTTCGACCTATCAAGCACGTAGACCAGGGCTATTCCAGTTAACTCTAGGGGAGGGACATGGACCTCCGGATCAGGTGGAAGTGGTAGGCTTTACTGCGACATTCGCCCTGATTCAGGCCCATCGCCCAGCCAAGGCAGGTTTCCAGGGACAGCAGCAGGAGTGGACGTGTCAACAGCACTGACAACAGTGTGAGGTTGAGCTAACATTGAGTCGAAGAGCCCCCTTTTTCAGGTTGTACCCAGACGAACATCTTTGAGATTGGGGGAATCCAATGGGGGACGCGCCCTCACCCATCTGGCATTGGATTTCATTTGGGACATAAGCAGCGGTAGAGATTGCTGGTAAACGCTGACTGACACACACGATGTGGTGTGAAAGAGAGAGAAGGGTGGGAGCCGTAAATGTGTATGTAAATCATTGTACTGTTGCACCGTAACCCCCTCCTTCCCCTCCTTCCCCTTCCTCCCCACTTCCTCCTCCTCCTCCTCCTCCCTCCCCCTGCCCCCACAGCAAGCTGCATGCTTTCATCTGGGACTCTGCGGTGCTGGAGTTTGAAGCCTCGCAGAAGTGCGACCTGGTGACCACGGGAGAGCTGTTTTTCCGTTCGGGCTTTGGCATAGGCATGCGCAAGGACAGCCCCTGGAAACAGAATGTGTCCCTGGCCATTCTCAGGTCTGTCCCAGCCGAAGCTGCATTACTCGTATGACCTTTTTTTTTTGTTTGTTTTTTCTTATCAATATGATTTCATGGTCACATATTGACCATTTATAGCCATCCAATACATTGCCTTATGTCACATCTTTGTATCTCCCCTTTCCTGCCCTGTTTGTCTGGTTGTCTCTTGTCAAGTGTATCACTGTTTGTCAGTACACGTGTCTGTACAGCTGTCTGTGCTTCATCTGTGTTGCTAGCTGGGAGTAAGCGGCTCAAACATTCGGTCATTTGCGGCATTCATTAACTCTGTTACCTCTCTCCCCACTACCCCCAACCCCCTGCAGTTCTCATGAGAACGGCTTCATGGAAGACCTAGATAAAACCTGGGTGAGATACCAGGAGTGTGACTCAAGGAGCAATGCCCCAGCCACACTCACCTTTGAAAACATGGCAGGTATGGTCCTTATGGCGTAGAGAAAGCGTTAAAAGTGATTGGACAAAAACTGCAGTGGTAAGGTACTGTAGCCCTTTTTTGTCCAATACCTTTACAAAATCGTTGTTTTAGTGTCAGCGTGGTGCTCTGTGGGTAGTGTGCCGTACAGTATCTTGTCCTGTGATTTCGTGCGGTTGTGGTTCTCTATTAATATTGTGTAGTTTGCAGCAGTCGTCGTCAGTAGGAGCTGGTTGAGAAAGGAGGGCGACCACTGAGCATGACAGTCAGACCATGCGTTCATGCTTAGTGGGAGCGGGGGAGATGTAGACAGGAAACTCACGTATCCCTGTGTCTGCTCTGTTTCTGTTCATGTGTCCCTCCTTCACAGGGGTATTCATGCTGGTGGCTGGAGGAATAGCAGCAGGGATCTTCCTCATCTTCATTGAAATTGCCTATAAGCGCCATAAAGACGCCCGCAGGAAGCAGATGCAGCTGGCCTTTGCGGCCGTCAATGTCTGGAGGAAGAACTTGCAGGTAGGATTGATACCCTGCATCCACTGAAGGTGGAAGGGTCAAAACTGGGGTGGAAGAGAGCCAGAAAAACCTCCCTCGAATGAGGGTTGATTTCTGTTTCTCAACCCATCTGAGAACTTTGGGGGTTTTTTTAAGTAGTGATCAAACCAGCAGATCACCATACAAGAAACAGTGATCTCTGATGCCTACATATAATGTAAGGCATGCTGAGTGGCCACCCTGTGGGTTTACACAGTTCCCTGAGGCCAAATGCACCCGTGTCTCTTGTGTGTGTGCCTGCAGGATAGTAAGGAGACTTCTGGAAGTCAAGCGGTGGCTGGAACTCCCTCTTTAGTATGTAGTAGAGCCATTTCCACCGTCATGTCACCTCTCGCTCTTGGCGTAACAATAAGATAATTAGAGATTCTCTCACACAATAAATCTCCAAATGAAAACTCTCCACTACCCACGTCCATGGCATGAACCAGTAGTTCTAAGCTGCTGCTGTGGCGCTATATTCTTCATGAGGTCATATGATTTGTACATGGAAAGCCAGCAGAAAAAACAAATTCCCTGCCAGAAACATTGAAAAAACATTATTGACAATGAATACTCTAAGGTTGATGCATTTTGCTCGCGACCCCATTGATTTCCTTCTCTCTGGCAGCAAAACTAACAGCAGCCAAAAGCTGATAAGACAAATAGAGCATAAAGAGTAAAATCAATGCCCTGGCACAATCATACGGCAGTGACCGTTCCGCAATTGTCAGCATAAGTGAAATGTGCAATGCTGCGGCGCACAGTGTGTCTCCTTATCCACCACAGTGTTCATGATGCAGACACCAAGCAAGAACTTAAAATCTCGCATGGCAAAGGCTTCGTGCAACATTGCCTGAACAGGCATCAATCTAAAGGCTCAGTTCACTCAAATATAATTTTATAAGTCCTTATTTTTATACTTGCTCTAGTGGTATCTAACTATGCAGCTAACTTAGATTCATTTTCAGGGGTTTTCAGAAACATTCACGTAATTAAAAAAACAATAAATGGAACTTCTTTGCAGTTTAAAGTCATTTTCATGGCCAGATACCACTATGAACATTTTTGTTTTTTTTTGTTTTTTTGAATGAACTGACCATCTGAGCTATAATCAAGCGATAAGTTCCTTTGCTCAGCCAGTGAAGAACATGATTTCCCCTGCACTCTGATGCAATCAGTGCTGCTTTGAAGGTACAAGGTTTCCACATTTGATGGCCAATCACAGCCTGAGTCTGTGATGTGGCTGTGGCAGTTTGTCTGCTGTGTCTCTCTTGAACCAAGTGAAATGAGACAGCAGGGCTGGAGGAAGGTACAGTATAATTATCACAAGTGCCTGTCAGCAAATCAATGTCCTTCTAAAAGTGTCTACCATCAAACTGATAGCTGTATGTAACTGTCGTATGTGTCCTCATATAGATGTACATATAGATGTAGGCGCATACAGCAGATGAATGCATGCAGGGGGGCGTCACTGAGAAAGGAGAGGGACACACTAAACTGCCCGCAGACTAATGTAATTTATATCCATGTCAGTGATGATCATGCCAGTTTCTCTGCATCACTAAACAAAGATGGCTCATGCTTGCTCATCTTGCTCATTCACCATCACTCTGGGCCCAAAAGCTAAAATTGCTAGACACACATTGCTCTAACTATAGCTATTACAATGGCGCCTTACGCAAGAAGCGCTGAGAGGACCCATGAAGTAAGGCTAATCAAATCTGCTTTGCATGAAAATTATTCAGGATCTTATTCACACTGTTTAGGTACGCTGATTTGATTACTCACAGTGATCTAAATTTCTGAAATTAAAAATGACAGCTTGGTTTTCCAGGGTACAAACTCAATCTAAGATCACAGTTTATGTGGCCTCTTCCTTCTCTAGTACAACAATCACTAAAACCTCGATACCCATTACTGGCATCGTTTCGACTGCTTCCATGTGTGTTTTTTGTTATTATGTGCTTTTAAATGCCTCAGGTTGTATTATGCAAAGCAATGTGCAGGACTGTGCACCCAAATACCTTCAAACAGAGGTTTAACTTCAGAGAAAGTGCACTTCTGAGTAAATCTGTTCACAAAGTAAAATCCTCACTAGTTGCCACCTTTGCATTATCTCTGCACCCAGTTATTTTTAAAAGCTAAAAGCTCTCAAACAAGAAGTTCATTAGGTGTCACGCCAACATGGCATTGGTTTTGCAGACTTTTACTAAGAAAGACAAGTGCATGTGTGTAGGTTGCCCAGGATTGTAAAACTTTAAAAGCTGTAGCAACATACATGATGAGTGAGTAAAGGGTCTTTGGAGTAAAATTTATTTTTAGTTTTTTGAGTTCTATAATGAGAAATGCTAGTTTACTGGGGCATTTCCTACTTTTACCTAATTTAGCTAATGCACATGCATTTTTGTGTGTGAGAGCTTTTTATTTGGTTGCCGATGGTGCCTAAATGATATTAAGGCTTAACTGTCCCTTTTAAATAAAGGCATGATATATAGTAATGGGCCAAAGTGTCCGCTTATTCCATTATTCAATTTATAGAAAGCAAATCTTAGTATAAACAGAACCAGTATGACTTTAAAGTAAAAGTAGTTGTGCCTTTCAAAGTATGTTGGTTGGAGGGGAAAAGAATTAAGCCAAACCGATAAAGAAATAACCTAAATAGCAAACACAATTAATAAGTATAAGTGTTACACAGTCATCTATCTGTCACTTTACCATAGCTGACTGTGAATAAATCGCCTAAGGGTGCGACCACTCGAGTGCAACGATTGCTATAATTTATGTAGGGTGTGTAAGTAATAACTCATCTTCATCTTTAATAAAAGCTGTCAGTTACATTAGGACTGGGGCAGGGTTAGGGTTAGTGAAAGGCTGCTGCTGATCCACTCTCTCTGTTCTCTTTTTTAGAGGTGGACAATGTAGCTACAATGTGAACATTTATATTATAAAAAAGTTACATTGTGTTCCATTACTAAGAGACTACACATGTGGCTTCTACATCTGTCTTTTCAAACAGATGTTACTTAGAAGTGCACTGTCTGAACCAGATTGAACCTGATGATAGTTTGGGATGAAAACAAAGCGTCAGAAAGTCTGCTGCGTGACGATAACAGTGATGTTGTATAATGATGCTGAACTATGACAGCTCACATCTGTTTCCAACGGGAAACACGCAGCCGATGTACACGGTGCAAGTCCCATGCCGCTCTTCATCTGATGGTCCAGCATGCCCTGCATGGCCGGGACTGTGCACACGCAGCGCCTCATCAGGGCTCTGGATGGCCGGGCTTCACTCCTGCAGTCTAACATGTGTAAGAAAAGGGGAAAGTAAAGATTAAACGAACACCTGACGTCACTTGGGCATTGATTTTTCTGAACCAAGACCAATACGCACGCTGACTTTAACCATTTACTAACACGAGATGTCATCTTCCAACAGGAAAAAGATATTTTTTGCACTAAAATCGAACGGTGCCGTGCACCAATCACTCCTCTGCCAGCTTTCATCTATCCTGCACATGAGATAATACCTGCTCGCCACCTGATATTATGTCATCAGGGGGTTGAGAGAGTGCTGGTTGGCGGGGTGATGGTGGAACAAATGTGCCCTGAAAGAGCCTAGTCATGTGACCTGATGAAAAAGGATGAACTGCGGGGCCAGTGCTGGCCAGGATTGATTTGTCGTGCTATTTGTTTTGTGTTACTTAATCTATGTTCCCCCTTTTATTCCTTCCCTCCATCCATAAAACGATTTGGCATGTTGAAATTCACACCACACTGCCCCGCCCACCCCAAGGGCCTCCCTTGCTGCTACTAATCTGTCATCCTCCACTTATACTATACTCTTTTTTTTTATTAGAAGTAGCATCTTTTAGCTTTCATTTGCTCAGTTAATTATGAATTTATCATTTAAACACTGACTTTTGTTTTTGCACTTTAATTTCAGTAGAAAACAGGCTTTTTCGTTGCTCTAGTAGACAACCATTCCTTCTTATTTTTACCTTTATGCTCTCCATCTCATCCCATTCCCTGGTGTGTGGGGTGAATTTCCATTATACCCCTTAAAGGTATAATGACGTTAAATGGGCTTTAATTACTGACTTATGTCGCTGTTGTTTTCCTTCTATGCATCCAATACTGTAGCTTTTTTATTTTTTTATTTATTTTTTACTTTTTATACCTGCCTGGCTTTGGATGTGAATGTTTGCTTTGCTAGTTTTGGGATTTTTTATCTGCCATTTTTGGTTCCCTTGGCTTTTGCTTAAGGATATTCTTTAAAGTAATAACAATCCAAGTGGATGGACATTTATTTTATTTTTCTTTTCTCCCCCTATGCAGCCCTCTTCCTCTGTAGAGACTCAGGATGTAAGAATACCTTAATATGAGTTCTTAATATGAGTTCTTTTTTTATTGTTGCACACAGACATCCAGTAATTGTGCTGAGAATAGCTGCGGGGCACTCTGATGGTATGAGGGAGGGAGGGCACCAAATTGGCTCACCATGTTGTAAGAATACGGTTAAAAGTGCTTCTTTTTCTTTATGTTTTTATTTTATTTTGACAGGTACGCATTTGAAGATGTTACCTGTGTGTACTGAGTAAGAGTAGATTGAAGATTAAGCATGTGCTGAGATAAAGAAGTGGCAGCTTTAAAGTGTGTGTGCACTCACACAATAGCGAGTGTACGGGTAGACTATTTTAGATGGTTTAAAACCTAGGTATCACACCCACTGACATCTTTACTAGTCATCACTCATTCCAGTGCATTTCTAGGGCCAACTGAGTGTGTTTCTAGAGGACTACTGTGCCATCTTGTGCAGTCCAAGTGTGATTATGTTGCATAAAATGTAGACAAATGCCCTCATATCAGACTGAACAGACTTTGTTCACTCTCACATCTAACAAGCTTTATCCCCTTCTTTCTCCCTCTTTTACATTTCCAAATGGTGTAGTGTTTTTCACAAGGACCCTCCCAGTAATTAGTCTATTAAAAACATAAGGTAATCTATTGGGGTGGCAGTGGTTTTGGTGGTGGTGGGTAGAGAGAAAACGGGTGAGACTGAAACCACGGTTATCACCCCAGCCATAGGACATGAATAATGTTTCTACATATATTTATTTTAGGATAGGAAAAGTGGTAGAGCAGAGCCCGACCCCAAAAAGAAAGCCTCTTTTAGGTCCATCAGTACCACCCTGGCCTCCAGCATCAAGAGACGTAGGTCCTCCAAAGACACGGTAAGGAGACGGAAGAAGCGACACCTTCCCTTGTTTATTCTTTCCTCTCTTTCCTCTTCTCCTCCTCTGTCTCTGCTTCCATCTCTTTGTCTTTCGCTGTCCTCTCTGCCCCCATCCCCATATCTGACCTCAAAAGAGTCCCATGTTCCACTCACTCATTTCCACACGGCTCCGCTGGCCTCTGCCACGTGTCTGTCCCTTCACCATCGATCAACCATTACCATTTAGCTCTTATGGTTCCTCTACAGCATAGAGGGCATCAGTGCAGGATCTCAGGTCAGGCCAGGCCAGGAGCTGGGCTCTGAATTTGGAAAGGGAGCGTCCCAAGTGTCCAGGATTTGGGGGAAAAGGGGAGAAGGATTTAATGGGATTAGTGTCTTCTGGAGGAAGGGGCGCGACAAAAGCAAGCAGTCTGCCAGTGGTGTTTTGTCTTGGGCTGCTCTTCCTCCCTGCCTCTGGTTTGGACGTGGATTCTGTCCGTATTTGGTGGTGATGGTGGTGGTGGCACTGTGGTACGTGTGTGCGTGAGTGTACCGTATGCGAGCGTGTCTGTTTATACGTTTCTGTTCATGTCCTGTCGTTTTGACTGCCTGATCCTTCGTATATCCATTGTTTCTTTGCACCAATCCTGCACTTCCTCTGTTTGGGTTTCAGCCGCTGTTGGTTTGCTTATGGTTTGAAAAGCATGCGCTGGTGTTCTGTCATTTTTTTATTCCCAAAACCCTTTTTTAAAATTTAAGGTGACGTCCAGCCCTCCCGAGAAGAAAACTAATGTGTTGTCATATTTTTCGGTGTGTCTATTTCAGGATTCCACTCATGGATTTCTATTAATCAATTTACTTTTTTGCATTATCATATTTTGTTTGTCATAATTCTTGTTTTATTTCCAGTGTCCTTGTGGTCCGAACTGTGCATGCCTTTTGCAGGGTATATTTTCAGGTCGTGAAGACAGTCGACTTTAAGTTTTACATATTGTGTTTATTGTGCTAAAAACTCTGTGAAGCCTTAGACTCTCACTGTGTTGTGATGCAAGAATAAATACAAGCTACTGCCCCCCCCCCTCATTCTTTTTATATCACTCCTTTGCTGCAGCACAATGACAGTGTCAGGTTTTCTGCATTCCTTCACAGTTCGGTTGAAAGGCCCTGCTCATTGCGGTTTGGAGATTGCACTACACAAGCTTGGATCACGCTGACAAACCGGTGACCAACGGTCATTTGTGCCCAGCTGATCTGCCAGGCATAGCTGGTTGTTAACCAAATCTGGGCTTTATAAAAGAATGGCAATAATTTGTGGAGATAGCCTTCATAGCCTTTTGCACTAACACTATGCTTTGAATGTGTTTCTCTGGAGAAATGTAGCCTATGGCAGCAAAGATAACAGCTTGCAACATTTAAAAAAAGTTATGATTTGATTTTCTGTTTCTCCTTTCTTTCTCTTCTGTTAACTATCTGTTGTTGTTTTTTTGTTTTGTTTTTTTAACGGATGTTTCAGCAATGAAGCCAAGCACCTTTACTCTTCCCCGGCGTTTTTCCAATAGAATTTCTTTCATTTTATGAGAAGAAGAGCGGGATCGCCACTGCCACTTTGTCTGTATGAGGTTTCGGATGCTGGTTTGGGAGCCCTATTGGGGGAAGAAAATGTCTCAAAGTGTAAAATGAAACGGGATTTAGTGTAATTACAAAAGATGCTCCAACTGAAAGACCTACCATCTTCAGTCTTTGACCATTATTTTTGATTTTATATAAATGTTCTTCTTTTCTATTAATGGATATCAATGGACTTGAGTGTCAGTGTCCCTCACCCACATGCCACACTGCTCCTCTCTCCCTCTACAAGCATGCTAATTACTTTAACTGTCATAGATGTAGTAACCGTAGAAGTAGTAATACTCTTTGTAGCTGTTCCATATATGACAAAAAACCCCAACAAAAAAACGTCATCTTAGTTGTGCTGAATAAGTAGCTTTTAACTGTGGTTGTGATGTCAGTGAAGTGTTTCTCTTTTGCTGGTCCACTTGACCCCAGTAGGGTGCGCTGTTAGCAGGCCCTCAAGGTACAAGACATGTGGAGACCCAAATGGGGGCTGTAAGCTATGTGATGATGCAACTTGCGGGTCAAGGAGATGAGGGACATCCACTCTGACTCCTATTTATTACCTTAAAATAAAAAGCAACAATTTTCCCATTCAGTCTGGATGCCCCCACATCTGTCAGCATGTTAGTTGCATCATACCAACTTCTGAAACTCACATGCTTGAATGTATCGGCTCTATCGGCTTAAAACGAGAGGTGCTTAAATCAAAAAAAGTGACAAATGAGACGGGTACACCTTCCCTGTTTTGGTTCTGAACGTCATTAATGTGCAGTAGTAATGTGCATAATGTAAAAAGAAAAGATGCTTTCCTGCATGCTTTGCAACACAGCACTGTGAGTCAGAATTTTGATTGGCATGTTGGAAATTAGCTGAATTATAAAGGACATAATGCAGTTACTCCACCCAATCTCACTGTGTTTCAAAACATGAAGCAATTCTACAAAAACAACATGTTCTGCAAACTCGATTTATGATGTATAAAGCGGATTCTGTAATGTAAGATTTCTGTGTTTCTATGTAAAAGATAACATTTTAAAAAATGGCTTACTGCTGCCAAAAGCACTAAAAAAAACACTCAAACGAAGCACATGCATGGATATGGGATCTTGCCTCCCCTCTCAGCATTGTAGAAGCCTATAATTCAACATATTCTGCTCTTAAAGAAGCACAGTGATGCAGGGATTGGACGTAAGAGTCGGACACAGCAGCACTTGTGCAATCAGCCCAAAATTCATGTTCTCCTCTTGAGCTAAATATAGAGAAGCTGCCTGTCTGCATGCACACAGATGACTGTGGGGGTGATAAATGAGCTGCCCATTTTATCCATGGCAGGAAGTTATCACCCAGTCATGTTGCTGAGGCAAAAAATAAAATAAAAAAATAAATGACTGCTGTTGTCAAGACTCTCGGGATCTTACGTCAGCTCCGAAACTAGCCCACCCCAGGCACAAACTGTTCTACAAAAATTCAGACTTTAAAGAAAATGACACAAAATTAAAGTCTGCCTGAGAGGGGTTAGAGCAACATCCAGCTTCTGCAGAACACAGTTGTTACCTAAATTAAAATTAATATTTAGACAATGCTAGGACAACAACAACATCGGCAACAAAAGGGACACTAAATTTTGTCAAGAAATGACACCCTGTTATGTGTCTCTCTTCCTCCGCCCTGTTTTTCTTCACCTCTGCAGCAGTACCCACCCACTGACGTCACGGGCCAACTCAACTTGTCTGACCCGTCTGTCAGCACAGTGGTGTAAACGGAGAGGGCGACAATGAGGTTCACTCCCCAAGGAGAGGAGGAGAGGAAGCCAAAACCGAAGCTTTTATTTCACTGCCTGCCAGCGGAGCTTTTGAGGAAACTGCTTGCTGAGGAACTGGCTGAAAACACTCAACTTGCACCTTTCTTTTTCTTTTATCTTTTTTTTTTTTAAAGACGAAATGACTTTAATGTTCGTAGGGTCCCTGAGCATGCACAGAAGAACCCATCCGACATATATAATCTTTTCCTTCTGTATATTATTACCTAACTTATTTAATGTTGTTTTGTCCCTTTAATTGCACACATTTACTTAATGTTTGATGTTTTCCAATTTCCCAAGCAACTCTATAGCTTTTAGCAAGCCAGGTTAGTTCGGCTAAATTTATGGATGAACCAGTTTGGCTGCGAGTATTGTACTGGACATTTCACTTCCACTTAGGGCCTAGAAGTCACAATATTTAATATTTCTTAACAACATATACTGCAATACAAAATGGTCTGTAAGCTCCGATGGAGGTCAAGTATTTTTTAATAGGATATACCTGTGTTTTTATCCACACTAATAATGGCACTACAGAAGGCAGTTGGCTAACCATGTCATCCAGAGAAGATGATGAAGGCATGGGTGTGCTTGGGCAAGGGTATACATCAGCTTCTGGTGATGAACAAATTGAACCTTTCCCCACTTTTATTTTGCACTAACCTCAAAATTTGCATGTGTTTCTATTTTTAACAACAATTCAAGTTTGAAGTATTTAGCTTTACTACTATTTATAGCACGACATATGCAGGTGATATAAGAAATCACATCCTACTTAATTAGTTAAATACTAGTGGTGTCTTTCATATTCAGCCATATTTGAGACAGTTGGCTGTGAGCCATGCTGCTGTTTTGGGACGCCCTCTCTCTTCCTCTCTCCTGCCGCCGCCACTGCAGTCTTTCTCATTTCCAGTCTCCAAGGGGTTGCATCAAAGGGCCAGGTTTTTCACCCAACCAGCACTCGGTCTTTCATGCAAAACCTCCTCCCCTGTGCAGCGCCGGAGAACTTTTACACGAAGGAAGCCGAGTGAATTTGAAAGCTTCGCTCAGCTTGCAAGCACATGTGCAGGTTTGGTTAGATGCAAAAACAGGCCGTTTCCCAATTTCTGGAGATGAGAAACCACTGCTCTGAAGAAAACTGTAACATTCTTTCGGGTGTATGGCACTGTATAGCACTTTATGATGAGGAGTCTCCCCAAACTGTATTTAAACAAAACACCGATTCCCAAAACAGAACGACAGTCATACTGTAAAGTATCGTTTCCTTTTTAATTTGCTTTATTGAGAAAAAACAGAGCAGGATCTACAAAGTCTTTATAGGATTAAATGATTTTAATTTGAGCAAAGAGGTTGCTTCTGATCTCATTCAGGCCTGTGCATGCTTATGTGTTATTATTAGTGCTTTAGTTTGGATGCGTGCTGTTGCCATGTACAGTTAGCTGAGCCGTGAGGAGCACTTAAAGTTGAATGAAATGTAAATAGAGTCTGGCTCTGTGTAGATGAGGTTCATGAGCTCGTACAATGACTGCAGCTGGGAATGTCTTATACTATAGTTACACAAACACAAAACAGGTGTGATACACAGGCATGCATCAACACACACATATACACATGCATATATGCACACACACACACACACACGCACACAAACATTAAGGGAATATTCACTTGTTTTTCTTACCTTTTCCAGTGATGATCTTGCATTGAATCATGTTGTTTATACACCTGTAAATAAAATACACTTACATTGTCATGTCTAATGAATCCTTTGCTTTAATATGCTAAATATAGGGCTCCAACTAACAACTATTTCTCTCGTCAATGTCAAGTAATTCTTTCAGTTAATTGATGACATCTACACAATGTCATATAATCAAGGCAAGCAAAAAAAGTACAAATAGGGCTACAGCCACTCCATGCAGGTCTGTGAAAAACTTAGTGTATCATTACTGCAGCCATAGAAATTAAGAGTGAAAGTAGGAGACATATGCTGCTAATCAAATTCACTTGATTAACTGATTGTCTGAAAATTTTGGCAGTTCTATAAACGCAGATGTTTTGGCAATTTCATGGTTTTAAGCATCCAGATGTGTAAACACAATACTACAGTCTTCTCAGGAGTGGGCCTCTCAACAAATTCACTTCAAGGTCTGACCGTGCGATGCTCAGAGAAACAGCAAAACATCCAAGAGCTACATCTCAGACTCTACAGGTCTCATTTAGTATGATAAATGTTAACATTCACAAGTGCAAAGGTAGAAAAAAGACTAAACAAATTTAAGAAAATGGTAGCATAACCCAGGTTCACACAGTTCCATCTGAACTATCCACAAGATTCCTGGAACTATGTCCTTCAGACAGATGAGACTACAGTAGAAATGTTTGGCCATAATGCACAGAACCACATTTGCAGTAAACAAAACACAGCATATCAGCACACACACTTCATATTAAATGCCAAGCACGGTGGTGGAGGGGTGATGATTTGGGCTTCTTTTTCATACACACCCATCTGAGCTTCTTGCACATGACTGCAAGAAGCTAATAACTCCTCTGTATACCAAAGTGATCTAGAGTCAAACCTGAGGCCACCTGTCCAACTAGCCAAGTCTAGTGATATAGGTTAAAGTTTGTGAATCCCCATAGCTTTGTTTCTGTTGTCTACATTTAGACTGTATAGTTGTCTGCTGCTTTTACTCATTGTTATAAAAGTATAATGCAAAGCAAACGTTTGTGTCTGAAGTACTTTTTACATGTTCTCCTCAGCTGCTTCTCAGTTTGGTCCCAACTGATATATCTCAAAAAACAGCCATAAAATCTTTGTAGATATTAACCATAGTACATTTCTGCATTGTAACATGAATCTCATTCGCAGGTCAACATGACAGCAGTATTGCTGTGAGTATATCAGCATGATTAGTAACATTATCGATTAGTTCAGAAGGATTCTGCTAGCCAACTTGTTTTAGTTGCATCTGTTAGTTGACATATTTAGTTATTTTGGTTAATAAGATAAGATAACCTTTATTAGTCCCACACGTGGGAAATTTGTTAAATTTGTTAAATATCCACAAGGGTTATGAAACCAGCTTTTAGTTTTTCCTCTAAAACTCTCAGTAGAGTTACTCATATAAAATAGCTGATTTAAACTTGTATTTCAGCAGCTTTCCTAATGTAAGGGTTAATAATTTGACATTTCAGCAGCTGTAATTATACCACTGTTTTCTTGGATGAAGCATAGCGCTAACATCAAAATCACATTAAGTGTAATCTGAAATTTAATTATGAGCGTCATCTTTGGTCATATCTCAGCTGTCACTATTAATTAATGCAAATGTTGCAGAAGCAGGAGGTGAGATATTTGTCTTGGTGCACTGACTTTCTGTCCTAATCACAGCAGACAGTCTGTCAGAGTCGTTATAATGCTCAGCCATCAACCAACAAGCAGATTTCAAGTCCTGAGATGAGACCACTGTATGTACACAATATGTTTTGGGATTTGTGCTCAGGACATTTGCAGGTTTGCTTTTAATATGCAGTGCAGTCATGCAGTTTTATAAAGGTATGTAAGTCAATTATTTCACACATACATTCAAAGTGTTGAAATTGTATTTTATACTTTTCCAGCGTAATTTTAAATATAAGGTCCAAATTAATGTCAGTGGAAGTGAGGCTGAAAAAGCAAAATAACCTTGTAAGACAGACCAAAACCTTTAAGATCTGCCAAATCAACAATCTAATATACTCTTAAAAACTTTGGATACACTGGCCACGTCAGCAACACTGAGGGGCCTGAACGACCACAGAAGACAACCTAAGTGCATGATGACCGATTTTTTCCGATGGTTAAGAAAAACACCATCAAAACATCAACCAAGTCAAGAACACACTCAAGGAGGTAGGAGTTTTTTTGTCAAGGGCTACAAGCAAAAGATGCCTCATGTGAATACAAAGCATTTATAATAAGGTGAAACCCAACAGTTACATTAAAGAACAGGAAGGCAGATTAGACTTTACCAAAAAGAAACATCTAAAAGAGCCTGCATAGCCCTAAAACTAAGTCTTTGGATGGATGGAAGGAGGAATGAATATATCTACACTGAACAAAAATATAAACGCAACACTTTTATTTTTGCTCCCATTTTTCATGAGCTGAACTTAAAGATCTGAAACATTTTCTACAAACACAAAGGACCCATTACTATCAAATACTGTTCACAAATCTGTCTAAATCTGTGTTAGTGAGAACTTCAGGTTTGCCGAGATAATCCAGCTCACAAGTGTGGCATGTCGAGGTGCTGATTAGACAGCATGAACATTGCACAGGTGTGCGCTTAGACTGCCCACAATAAAAGGCCACTCTGAAATATGCAGTTTGATCACACAGCACAATGCTACAGATGCCGAAAACCAGTCAGTATCTGGTGTGGCCACCATTTGCCTCACACAGTGCAACACATAGATGTGTTGCACTGTGTGAGGCAAATGGTGTGCAATGGGCATAGAGTTGATCAGGTTGTTGATTGTGGGCATGTGGAATGTTGGTCCACTCCTCTTCAATACTTGTGCAAAGTTGCTGAATATTGGCAGGAAGTGGAACACGCTGTCATATACGCCGAGCTGAGCGTCCCAAACATGCTCAATGGGTGACATGTCTGGTGAGTATGCTGGCCATGCAAGAACTGGGATGTTTTCAGCTTCCAAGGAATTGTGTACAGATCCTTGCAATATGGGGCCATGCATTATCATGCTGTAACAGGAGGTTATGGTCATGAATAAAACGCACAACCATGGTCCTCAGGATCTCAACACGGTATCTCTGTGCATTCAAAATGCCAACAATAAAATGCACTCGTGTTCATTGTCCATAACCCCACTGCCACCATGGGCCACTCAGTCCACAACATTGACGTCAGCAACCTGCTCATCCACATGACGCAACACAAGCTGTCTGCCATCTGCCCTGAACAGTAAAAACATCTGTCAACAGAACACCTCTCCAACGTCCAGATGCCATTGAATGTGAGCATTTGTCCACTCAAGTTGGTTAAAGTGATGAACTGCAGTCAGGTCTAGACCCTGATGAGGACCATGAGCATGCAGATGAGCTTCCCTGACACGGTTTCTGACCGTTTTTGCAGAAATTCTTTCATGCAAACCGATTGTTGCTGCAGCTGTCTGGGTGGCTGGCCTCCACCTGGTCGACCATCCTGGAGGTGAACATGCTGGATGTGGAGGTCCTGGGCTGGTGTGGTTACATGTGGTCTGCAATTGTGAGGCTGGTTGGATGTACAGCCAAATTCTCTTAAACGCCTTTGAAGATGGCTTATGGCAGAGAAATGAACATTCATTTCACAGGCAACTGTTCTGGTAGACATTTCTGCAGTCAGCATGCCAATTGCATGCTCCCTCAAAAGCTGTGACATCTGTAGCATTGTGCTGTGTGATCAAACTGCATATTTCAGAGTGGCCTTTTATTGTGGGCAGTCTAAGGCACACCTGTGCAATGTTCACACAATCAACAACCTGATCAACTCTATGCCCATTGCACACCATTTGCCTCACACAGTGCAACACATCTATGTGTTGCACTGTGTGAGGCAAATGGTGGCCACACCAGATACTGACTGGTTTTGCGGCATCTGTAGCATTGTGCTGTGTGATCAAACTGCATATTTCAGAGTGGCCTTTTATTGTGGGCAGTCTAAGCCACACCTGTGCAATGTTCATGCTGTCTAATCAGCACCTCGACATGCCACACCTGTGAGGTGGGACAGATTATCTCGGCAAACCTGAAGTTCTCACTAACACAGATTTAGACAGATTTGTGAACAGTATTTGATAGTAATGGGTCCTTTGTGTTTGTAGAAAATGTTTCAGATCTTTAAGTTCAGCTCATGAAAAATGGGAGCAAAAACAAAAGTGTTGCGTTTATATTTTTGTTCAGTGTACTTAAAGTAGTAGTTATTTTGTTATACATAATAATAATGATAGCTGACTTCCAGATGCTGTTCGTGCTGGCTCACTGTCACACTGCCCTGCTTTACTGAGACATCTGAATAGAACAGACCCATTGTTGTCATTATTGGCGACACTAGTGCTTTTTCGACAGCAGCAAATTATACTGACTGCTGTGAAAAAGGTCTGTGACATAAGGTTTAGATGAACAGCAATAACCTTTTAGTTTATGGGAGACAAAAACTCTTAAGGTATGTAACAGGATTCAAGCAAACAGACAACAGGGCATGCAAAAACAAGCCTAAGTTTCCAGAAAATTGGAAAGAAATGACTTATACACACAAAACATGCTATGGCCTGCTGTCATGTGTGTGAAAAGAACTGGCTCCAGAAGGAGATGTCTGGAAAGTCACGCCATCTGGATTATTTATGCTTAGGCCCAGAGGTTAATAAAGTTTTGTCGTACAACCTATGCTACAACCTGGAGTTATGAAATAAGGAAATCTTGGAAATGACCCAGGTAAGCTTTGACAACAGATATATCATGGGAACTATAAAGGATTTTGAAAAGTCTAAAATCCTCTCCTTAGAGTGCCATTTAGTGTAACCAAATGCTGAATAAGAAAAAACTGTATCTTCCTGTCACTTGAAGCACAATGTCTTATTGTTATTCACTTTAATTCTTTTTCCACCTCGTATAGGCCAATATCACATACAGAGGGTCAAAGAGCCTCTGTATGTGATATAGAGAAAAAAAAACATAGTAAAACACAAGGTGATGGTACTTGTCAC